TGGATGTCCTGACGCTCGTGTTGTTTAGCTCCCTGCTTTTCTTTTCAGTTTTGGGGTGTGTGTGTGTAAGTGATACTTTCTTAGATTTTGAAGAACTGAGGAGCGGTACAAAGCTGGGTGCGTCCGAACGGGCAGGACTGGCACTCTTCAGGGAAGATCACAGACTGCGTCTGCTTCCCTGCTGTTCTAGGAACGCTTTCTGGGGAGTCAGTGCAGAGTCGTGAGCAAGTCCAAGGACGGGAGGAAGTCACCATACTGGAAGCAAGGCTGTGTTGTGGGCCAGCAGGATTATGGTCAGTGGGTCACCACAGCTGACCTCCCACCCACTGGATTAGAATAGACCAAGCAGAAAACTTCTGGGAGTGGGTGTGATAGGAATGTCCTCAGGGATTCAGGTAGCAGGAGGAGACAAGCACAGGTTCCAGGAAACTCACGTCAAATAAGAGCCTGGCCATGTCCCTCTTGGGCCTGGTGCTGGCTGGTCACAGTGCAGTTTGTCCCCTCTGACTCTCATTTTATCCATGTCGTGCCAAACAGCGCAGCTTCTTTAAAGGTATCTGCCCAGTTTGCAGTGAGCTGTAATCAAGTTGTGCTTTGCAGTTTCTGCTCTGGGAGATATTCATTCTTTAAATGATGGATTTTACCCACAATATGCTGACTGGACAGGCTTAGCTCTCATCTTTTTGAGATGAAAATATATTAATTAGAATGACGTCTGGCTGTGAGTGACAGAATATTTAAGATAATCCGGGTTTCTTTTCCACATAAACATCTAGGCAGGTAGCCCTGGATTAGCGTGGTAGGCCATGGGTCATGCTTTTTCTGTGCTCCAGTGAATGGACTCCATTCCCAAATCACCACATGGTCCAAGATGCTTGTTCTAGGTCCGGCTATCGCAGCTGCATTCCAAGCATCATTAAAGAGAGCATAGAGGGCAAAGGACACAACCTTTCTCTCAAAGGATGCTGCCCAGGAGGTACACATGCTACTATTTCTTAAATCTCATTTCCAAAAATTAAGTCTCTTGATCATATTTCATTGTACAGGAGGTTGGGAAATCTAGTCTGCATCTGAGCAGTTATGTGTCCAATTAATATTCAGGGGCCCTATTGCAAGGAATAGAGGAAGAATGAAAATTGGAGAACAAGACTGGTCTCTGCTGAAGGATGCCCCAACTGTGATCCCAGTATGCACGGAAGACCATACCCTCTCCGGGGCCCGCATCACTGAGTCCCACTGGCGGCTGCCAGAGCTCTGCTTTCCCCGGTGCCATTCTAGGGGTTTGAAGGAGGGGATAATATTCTCATTTAAGGACTGCATTTTACCTCCTTTGAAGGAAGGAGGAGAGAAGATCTGTGGAGTGGTGAGTACCTTATGTTCTCTCCCTTTTTGTCACTAGCAATCCATGTTTGCTTGACTGATTTGTGAGGTGTCCAATTTTTAGACAGTTTGATTTCTATTTGTCACTCGATCCTCACATTAGCCATGGGTTTTAGATAGAATTGTCCACATTTTATAAGTGGAAAGACTACTGCTCAGGACGTATTTGGAACTGATCCGACACTGAGGATCTGCTGAGTGGCAGAGCTGAGGCTTGAGCTCAGCTCTTCCGACTGCAAGCTCAGAACTCTGCAGGCGCCGTCCGCTCTTCATTGTCCCTGTTGTCTCTGGCGCAGCTCTGTCAACCGGGGCACTAACTGGTCTGAATGCCTGCCTAGTCCAACTCCTCATCTGCGTTTCAGGGGTCGGCGAAATTGTCTGTGCTGATTTGGGTCTTTCGATCTGCATCCGTTTGAGAATTGGCTAATCAAGTACTAGGAACACTGCTGAGATTTTGGTTGGGACTGCACTGGATTTATGCATCGGTTTGGAGGGAGATGCCATCTATACAAAAGGATATCGTGTATATTATTTCCACTTATTTAGGTATTCATAACTATTTTTAATAATGTTTGATGATTTTATCTATGTCTTGAATATCTAGATTAATTCCTAGGTAACCTGTAGTTTTGTTGCTATTGTAAATGGTTTCTTAAAAAAAATTTTTTTTTTAATCAGCAAAGAATTAATTTTTTTCACATAAACATATGCAAAGGTAAGCAATCCAGGACTTGTGCCACATTCAATTTGCTCAGGTTCCTGGGGTCTCTCTCTTGCACCGTTTCTAGCCCATGGCTGTTATTCTCCTGGCTACAGGCTGGCTCCCCAGCTGGAGGTAGGGGGTCCGGCTTCCAGGAGGGAATGAGTGGGATGGGAGAAAGAAGGACAGAATGACTACTGGGTTGACCACAGGTGGCCTCCTTATCTCTAGGAATGCTCCTTGCCTTAAAGTGTGGTTTTAACAGAGCTGTACTAACAATTTAATTGTTACACCTTTTTTCCATCCTCTTACTTTCAATCTTTCTGTACTTTTGTTTTAGATGTATTTCTGGAAAATAGTATGTGGATGAATTTTATAAAAATTCAGTCTTTTTGTGTATTTTAAGTGGACTATTTTGTCCATTTGTATTTATTACAATTACTTATATAACTTAATCTATAGCCACCTTCCGTATTTTACTTCCCATTTGACTCACTTTTTTAAATGTTTCTTTTTTTTCCCTCTCAGTTCTTATTTGGCATTGACTGAATTTTTTCTCATTTCTATATTTTCTCTAAACTGAAATTTACAGTTTTATGATTATCCCTATTTTTTAGTAATTGTCATTGAACTTTTACTAAAACACTGACATTTAAATATTTAAGTTAGGTATTAGCTAATTGAATGAATATACAAAGGAATGAGCTGACAAAAGCTGAACTTAACATCTTCTTTTCCAAACAGAGCAGAGACCTTATAACTCTTTGACCCTAATCATTCCTTGCCACAAGGGGAGTGATACAATATTGCCATTTGTTTTTAGATGATGTCATTGGGCTGCTTTTAAGACATTCTCTTTGTTTTCTGAAATTTTACTTGGTGCCTTTAAATAAGGATTTCATTTGACTTCTGCCTTGTATTAATTGAGCTTCCTCTCTCTCAGAATTCTTGTGTTTTATTAGTTCAGAAAATTTCTCAGCCATTATGTCTGATACCTCTCTTCTCTAGTTTTCTCTCTTTATTCTCCCTATAATTCTGCCTAGACATATGTCAGATCTAAATGTCTTTTCCATCTCTATTTCCCATTTCTTATTTCTGTCTGAGCTGGTTTACTACTTACTTCCCTGTGCATCTATTTTTTTCTTTTTAACAAAATCATTAACTATATTCTCCATGCTGTACTACCATCCCCATGATGAATTTATATTACGACGGAGATCTTTGTGTGCCTTTATCCCCATCACCGCGCCTCCAACCCGCCTCTAACCCTCCCCCTTGGTAACCACTAGTCCCTTCTCATGTCTGTGAGTCTACTGCTACGTTGTTCCTTCTGTTCTGCTTTGTTGTTGTACTCCACAAATAAGTGAAATCATATGGTATTTGCCTTTCTCTGCCTGGCTTATTTCACTGAGTGTAATGCCCTCTAGATCCATCCATGTTGTTGCAAATGGTAGGATTTCTTTTTTTTTGTTATGGCTGAATAATATTCCATTGTGTATATGTACCACCTCTTCTTTACCCACTCATCTATTAATGGACACTTAGGTTGCTTCCATATCTTGGCTATTGTAAATAATTCTGTGTATCTATGTTTAATCTGTTTACTGGGGGTTTTATTCTAATTGCTATAATTTTCATTTCTGTAAGTTCTCTTTGGGATTAAAAAATTGCCTAATCATTTTTGATAATTCCTTATTTTTGTCAGTACTTTAATTCTTTTTTATTTCTTTCAATGTATGAAACATGCTAATTTTGCAATCTGTATCTAAAAATGGCAATAATTGAAGGATTTGTGCTCTTGATTTTATGTTTCTATGTTACACTGAATTTCAGGGTTATTTTTTTCTTTCTGTGCAACAGGGCTTTTAGGAACTATTTGAAGCCTGAGATGAAGGTGAATTTCCCCAGACAGAATTTGCATTTGGTTCTGACAGTGCCTGGGCTCACTACCACCTGGAGGACTTGAAATTCTTTTCTCAGCGTGTTTGGATCATCTAGGCAGTGGGAATTCCGCCTCCAGGTCCATGTTAGAGTCAGTGTGTATCCACGCAAATTCATTCAGTCCTTCCACCAAGGGTTTGCTTCTCACACCCTTTGATGGGGGGGATGTTCTTTCCATTTGTTCCCAGAACTTGCAGATTTATATACAGAGTTCTTCACTTTGACACCCCAGTGTAAGTGGCTATAGGATTTGTTGACTGTCTTCAGCACAGTTATTAGGTGTGGTTTGGGGAGCATGATTTTGATAGATGGCCCTGGAGCGGTCAGTGTGCTGGACAGAGCGAGCACAGAGGCTGCTCCCTACAAGGCCCTGTTGCAGCCCTCGGCTGTCTTCTTGGAATCTGGCTTATAGGATGTTCCTATGCTGATAGGGTTGTTTTGAGTATGTGGAGCACTGAATTCCACTGTATCAGACTTGCCTGGACTGTACCAACTATGTGATTTCAGGTGAACATCTACTTTTCTTCTGGGAGTTGTGAATTGCGGTAGCTGTGCAGGCAGAGAGAATGCCTATGTGATCAGCCCCTGATAAAAACCCTGAGCTCGGAGTCTGAAACAGGCTTCTCTGGGCAGAAACACAGCGTACACCTTCCCGTGTGGCCCTTCCCCGTAGAGTGGCGGGAGAACGTAGGGAGGCTGCACCTCGATTCCTCCAGAATTGGCCTGGATGTCTTTTCCCTGTGTTGATACTCTGTGTATCCTTTTTGCTGTAATAAAACTTATCCATGAGTACAACTGTTTGCCTATTATGTCCTGTGCGTCCTTCTGGTGAAGAACAGGATGTAGGTAGGTAGCTGTTGGACTCGCAAACAGCCAGATACTGGTTTCAAGACTCAGCCCTCTGAATTCTTGCTCCTCCTGTTACCAGCAGAGGGTACGTGGTCTCCTGGGAGAAAGAAGTCGAGGATGAATGCAGAGAAGGTGTTGAGCATTAAGTGTTTATTTGGAAAATAAAGTTCAGAAAAAGACAAGAGTACATGCCCAGAGAGATGGGGAGCAGAGAGACCCAGAGGGGAGCCAGCCTAGGGAATAATAGGGAGACTTTTTTATGTGAAGGGAAATGAATATTCACTGAGATTAGGTTTCAAAGGGGACAGGTGGGGCCTTCTGGGGGTTCAGGCTTACTCTACCCTCACGTGAGGCAGAGGGATTTTGGGCTATATTTTGTCCCCAACAGAAGTGTTAAAGTTTGAGGAGATGTGATTTATGCTCATGATAGGAGGGATGTGGGTTTTGGGGTGTGATTGGCTCAATTCTCCTCCATGTTGGAACCAGCTTGTCTGAGCCAGTCTGTGATCTGTAGTCTCCCTCCGCATGCCCTGGGGACAGCTTGCACGGAACATGTAGAATTAATGCAGGCATCACACTGAAGTCCCCCTTGCCTTCGCTGTCTCGCTACCTACCTACTCGAACACTACTTCTGTTATGACCTATTCAGGTTAACCATGAATTAAAAAATATCCAATTTATATGCTATCCAGCTGTTTGAGGTATTTTTTCATAAGACTATTATTTCGGGTTTCTGTTTCATCATATTGTTGGGTGTCTTATCTTTAAAAAAATGATTTCCAAAATAATTGGTGTTATTTACTTCTTAATATTTCCAAACAGCCCAAATAGAAAAAATCCAATTCTCAAATTACCAAACATTCACCCTCTTCAATCTGAATTGTAGGGAGTGGGGCTCAGAACCTCAGCTCCTGTCATCCCTCATACTGAGGCATTTGGGCCTACGTTTGTACTACAAGCCTCCAAGAGAGTCTATTTTCAGGGCCAGCAACTCTAGACTTGGACAGGAGGTTGGGAGTGGGGGGAACGTCATAGGCTTGCTGTCAGCTCACTCCCTCCCCCAGCCAAGAGGAATTCCCTGCAGTAACTAACAAGAAGCTGAGAGCAGCAACAGGGGAGCTTATGGTCCGCACTGCTTCAGGGGGTCCCTGCAGTGGGGCAGCCTGGTGAAGGTGAGCAGGACGTGGGGTAAAGGCTGCGTGACTGCTGGGGGGGCAGGGCGGCAGTCGAGGCTGCATGTGGGGCAGTGGTGACCGAGATGCTGGCGAGTGGTTCTTCCCCGGCTTGCTTCTCCCTCAGGGAGCCCAGCGCAGAAGGAGCACCGTCATGAGTGCTCAGGAGAGGTGGGGCTGGGTTTCCTGCCCTCCCTGCGCTTCCTTCTGGTCTCTTTCCTAAGGAAAGAGGAGGGGTGAGCCCACCTAATGGGGAGAGAATGTGCAGCTTCCCTTCTGCAGGGCAGCTTAGTCCTGCAGCCTCATGGTACCTGATGCAAAGAGCCCCAAGGTCCCATGATGGACATGGGCTTCCCTGGTGTCCTGGGGGCCATTTGGTCATGGACTGGGGCTCTCTGGGCTGGGCCACCACTGGGGTGGAAAGGCAGGCACGATGCCCCTGGGGACTCAGTGGAACAGGCCCTTTCCTCCTACCCACACCTTGCACTCTTCATTCCTGCCTCTGGAGAGCCTGCTGCCCAAACACACAGACACATATGTTAGGGGCTCACCTTCTTATGTTGGCGTCTCCCCCAGCAGAACAGACCCAGGGGCACCAGGGATGCCAGAAACAGCAGAATCCAGACACCCAACAGCATGGCCTGAAGGCTAATGAACAGGGCCTGGGGACAGAGGACCGAAGCTGCAGGCACCCGAGTCACTGTTGCCATCTGCGCTCTGTCTCCATGCTCATCTTCAACGCAGGGTCACTCTCTATCTTTTCATCCCCAAGTCTGCAGCTTCTGCGGGTGGGGGCTGCTGCAGAGGGGGCCCTGTGTGTGGGGTCCATGGGTCTAGCATGTAGAGAGCACCCGGAAACCTCTCTCAGCCTCTGTGACAAGCTTGGGCTGTGATTTGGTTCCCCAGCAACCCTAAGACTTGAGAGCATCAGGGAGCTCATGCATTTAACGGCTGTGGGCAGCACCTGGTGTACTTGCGATCCTGGTTCATATGTTATCATGGTTCAGCATCATATTATTAATAAAATCTGTATTTCCCACAGCTGCAGGAAGGGTTTCTGTTCGTTTCAATGCCACAGCTGTGGTGACAGTAGTCAAGCTGGGTGCAGAAGAGGCAGTGCCGGTGTTGACGGACAGCCTGACTCTTGCCCACCGCCTCGGCCCCGCCTGCCTGCCGCCTGTGCCCCTTTCTCTCATTCAGCTCACCTTCAGCATGTGCAAGTAGGTGAGGCACAGATGCAGATTTCTGACTTCCGGACTTGGCGTGCTGGGGGGCAGGGTGGGCCAGCTACTCAGGGAGGAGCTCTGACAGATATAGTTTGTAAATAAAAACTTATACTCAAAGAAATAAGTACTCCCAATGATGATGGCGGCGAAGGCTGTGGAGAAGGCTGCCAGGGCCAGCAGGGTCCTCAGCAGGGCCTGGTGAGGGGAGGCCGGAGACCCGTGAGATCCAGTCTCTCCTGGAGTCCAGCCCCAGGAACACAGGGGAAGGGGGCAGGAGGTTTGGGGTGGCCTCCAGCTTCTGGGCCTGGTGCCACCCCCTGTCCTCCAAACTCACCCAGTAGATGCCACCCCGTTTCTCATAAATGAAGGCAACAGCTCCTGCCAGCACAGCCTGGGGGGAGGTTGGAGAGGGAGCAGGTGAGCACAGGGAATGCCAGGCCCCCCGCTGCCCCCCTCTGTCTCTTGCTGGAACTCCCACAGGGTGCTGGCCCTTTCCCAGGACACCGTGTGGGCCTGAGGTTTTGAGCTAAGCTTTGTTGTCTGTAGTAAGATGCCAGGGACGCTGCTGAGGCCTGGATCGGACTCGTGAGGCCGCAGGACCCTCTGTGTTAGTGGCGTCAGAAAGCGCTGTGGTCAGGCTGGGCGCGAGCCCTCCTCCTCTCCCCCCAAAGCCTTCCTGTTTAGGGTGCTTTATGACAGGTCCAGACAGTGGGGTGCGGCCCCAGTCGCTGAGAAGTCCTCAGTACCGGGTGAATGTCCTGGTCCATGTGCCTCCCCAACCGTGCTCAGCAAGCCACCCAGCTGGGCTCACAGAACAGGAAGTCTGTGAATCACTGGGGGCGATGCTGTAACTAATCTGAGAGTTTTGCCACTGGGTGGATGAGGGTGACTACTTTTGTCCCCTTTTTCAATCAATATGTGTGTCTCACTGTTACTCTGTGAGCGCAGGTCAGCCTAAGGGCCCCTCAGTCCTCTCATGACCGGGCGCCAAGCTCCCACTGCAGATCGCACACCCGTCTGTGGACGTTAGGCCCTGATGCCCACGACGGGCAGGACCTGCAGAGGGCGCTGGGAGATGACCCAGAGGCGACCCTTCCTTGTGGAGCGCACGCGCTCCGGCACATTCTGTTGCCTGTGTCTGGAGATGAGAAGGCTCCTGGATCCTCGGCTGGTATTCGCTGCTGAAGGCGGGGGAGGCGGCCAGTCAGGGAGAAGCCCTGGGCAGGGGGCCAGGAGAACCCACCCGGTGACTTTGGATATCCCACTGCTTCCCTCAGCTACTGTCTCATCTGTAGAAGCAGGGGACTGGCCTGGATGACTTAGGGTCTAACATGGCGCAGCACCGTGTGGCCGGTGACGGACCGTGATGGTCTCTCGCCCCTGCCGCTGCTCTGGCCCCCGCCCCCGGGGCTCACCGCGGTCCCTGTCCAGAGGGCAGCGCCCGACTCCCGCAGAGAGCAGGAGTAGAAGAAGTAGAGGCAGCCTCCCAGGACCCCGCTCAGCACTCCCAGCACCGTCTGTACGACCTGGAGGAAGAAGCCGAGAACCTGGCCCCGAGCCCTGGGCCCACCAGCAGCCCTCTGCCCCCAAGCCTCGGGGCAGCTCGGAGGGCCTAAGAGGGGAGAGAGGGAGGGAGGAGAAGAGGGGGGGAGAGGAGGGCGGAGGAGGGAAGGGGAGGGGAGAGGCAGGGAGGACCCCAGCCTGTGCGGCATCGGGTCCAGGGCACAGGATAGACTCAGGGTTCCACTGGCTGGGACATTGACTGGTCAGTGGCACCTTTGCACCCCTTTAGCCCACAGCCCACCCTACCCTCAGCTTTTATTGGGAAGACCAGTAAGTGAGGGAAAAGCTAGAAACAGAGCTCAGGAGAACTTGATTTCTAGTAAGGAAATAAAACTGGCTCGGCGTCCAGTCGGGAGAGGCTGTCTGAGAGTGTGCCCAGCAAGGGCAGGGTCTGCCCTCCGCGATTCAGGGACCCAGGTGCTCCTCTGCGCCCCTGCTCACCCAGGAGGCCACCAGCAGCCGGCTGCTGCCCCGGGCCTGGAAGGTGGTGCCGGGGACAGGGGGCCGCAGCAGGGGGCACCCCTTCAGGATGAGCTTGGCTAAAGCCGACTCCTGGTGGAAGTGCACGTCGATGCGGGTGGGCTGGGGGGCCCCAGGGGTCACCTCACCACTGTCTTCAGTCCCCATCCCACTGGGCATCTGTCTGGGAGGGAGGAAGGGAATGTCAGAGAAGAAAAGAGGGCAGGTTTGCCCAGATTTCCCTGACGTTCGGGACTGGGGTGGCCTCCGCTCAGAGCAGCAGGCCTCGAGTCCTCTTGAGGGGAGTCGTGTCAGGGTAGCCTGACTCTGCTGGGGCTGTGGTGACCCCTGAGCCTGCTGGAACCTCCCCTCACCCCAGACCTGCTCCAGGCCCATGTCCCCCAGCCTCAGGGGGGACCATGCCATGCTGGTTGAGCTTCTATTGAGGCAGCTGCTCCCCAGCTGGGCTTGGGGGTACCCCTGAGCCCCTAAATACCTCCCTCTCCATCAGTGGCTCCTCAGCCCCACACTGCCTGGTCAAACTGCCCTCACCCCAGGGAAGGACCAGACTGTGGGTGCACTTGGAGGTCAAAGGCTGGACTGACTTGGCATTAACACAGGTGCACCCAGCCTCTGCTCCTCACCCCTCCCTGGAGTCACATCCTCTTCGTGGTGGTCTGTCCCTCCCTCCCTCTTCAGCAGGTTCTGAGGGGCGAGGCAGTGAGGAGGCCAGTGGGGGGGAGGCCCTGGGAGGGTCCTGTGTGAAGTTTCTCAGGACAAGGGCCTCTGGGCCATAGGCCCACCTTACCTGCTGTCCTCAGGGACCGGTGGCCAGTGTGCAGCAGGGAGGGCAGAGGCACTGATGGGGGCCGAGGGCGGGCAGAGGGGAGGACTAGGGAAGGGAGCAGCGCACAGCCCGTGTGGGGACCTTCCAGGGTTTTCTGGCTGCTGCTGTCACTGGGCTCTGGGCGTGGGGACCAGTGGGTGGCCTGGGAGCCCATGCAACTGGCCAGCCGTGGGAACCCTGTGGGGCGTCCTCTCTCCCACCCTGACCTGGGCAGGGACCTTTTGAACAAAGATTTGCCTTTGCTCTGAATTTGTGAGTTGTCTGAGTGGGTATGAGTGTACAAGTGTGTGTATGTGCATGAGTGTGTGCTTTGACTTCTCCGGCCAGCCTGATTATCTAATCAAGACAAAACCCCCTCAGAGGGGCCCCTTTGCTCAGCTATTTTCTGGGAAGTTGCGCTGCTGGGTTAGGTCAGGCCCCCACCTCCCCGCCCCTCCCACTCTTCTCCCTCCAGGCGCTGGCAGGTCATCAGCTCCAGCTCAGCTCCTTCCAGGCCTGACTGCTTGGAGCCCTCCCAGAGGGGAAAGCAGGTGAGCAGGACCCCCAGAGATTCTCACTGCAGGATCCCCTCTCCCCCAGGAGTCTTAGAGACCTGTCCCCAAAGCCCCCCATCCTGTCTCACAAATGCTGATTTGCCCCCATTCCTGCTTCCCTTACGTTGCTTGGGAGGGGGTGGGGGATGCGCTAGATGGAGAATGGCCTTAGAAAAATGGCCAGGGCGGGAGGAGGGACAAGCGCCTGTCTGCCGCCTGGCTGTCCTTCACTCTCCATTGGCCCCCTGACTTCATTGCCATTGCTCTGGTGGGGTGGCTGAGGCTCGGGCAGTTTGGTGGTGAGAAATACTGCAGAGAGCAGCTGGAAGGTGGAGGGCCCAGGATGTAGGACAGATCCTGGTTCTCTCTCCCCAGCTCCAAGGCCCTGGGAGGAGGTGGGCAGGGAAGAGTGTCTAGGACAGCAGGGCTGAGCCCACAGCCCAGAGTCTGGGTGGCATGGGGAGGGAGTCGTCACGGGGCTATAGCCTGGCTCAGAGGGAGTGTGGGGGCTCGCTAGGCTGGTTTGGGCTGGAGTAGAGGGGGCACAGTGGTGGGATCCAGGGGCTCAGAGGGACCTGCCATCCACAGCACAGTCAGGGTGGCAGCAGGATGCTAGCTCCTGGGTCAGCTTGGTTGGAATCCAGGCTGGAATTCCTCGTGTTTGTTTATGAACAGTTCTGAACCTCCTTGCACATCTGCAGAATTGTCAAACATCCGTTCTTTATACCTTGCAGGAGGCCAGGTAGGTGAAAAAGTGTAAATGCCCTGAAAAGGACATAGACCCCAAATGGGAAGCTTTCAGGATTACTATTGTTGCTGGTGTTATTAGAATTGTTAATAATAGTATTATGATTTAAACAGTGATACTTAAGTAGGTCTCCCATTAGAATTACCTATAGAGGATTTCTTTTGGAGCTAGGCAAGTTGATGATAAAGTTGCATATGGAGAAATAATCTAGCAAAACGGCCATGAAAGAAAATAAAATACTAACACAAGGGAGTCAAGAAATAGCTCAAGTAAATATTAAACTCTATAGTCGTAATTAAAATGTGGCAATGGTCCGTGCATGACTCAGCAGGCACACCCATGGGGGGACTATGAAGATTAGATTCAACCTGAATTCCTGGGGGAATTTTGTTTTTTCTCAGGGGAGTATTAGAATCAGTGGGAGAAAGATAGTATCTTCCCCAGACACAACATAACTGTAACGATCTGGAAAAAAAACAGAGCAACTTGAACCATGTCTTCCAACTTAAAAGATAAATCCCAGATGCGTCAACATTTAAATGTGAAAGCATAAAACCACTTAAGAGAAAACAGAATTGTCTTACATTCTTGAATTGGAAAAGTCCTTCCAAAGTATAGTATAAAATCCAGAAATCACAAAAAGATGGAGAACTTCGGTTATGTAAGAATACAAAGTCAAAAATAAATCACAAGTTGTAAAGAAATATTTGCAACTCATGTCACAGAGGTAATTTTTCGAACACACAAAGAACTCCTATAAAGAGCAAAGCAAAACAAAGTAAAACAAGGAAGATCTAGAGAGTGATTGCAGCTTGAAAAAGAAGAAAAAATTGACTCCTAAACATATGAAAAGATGACCCCCCTCACTCATAATAGGAGAACTATGGATGGAAACTGGACCGTCCAGGCTGCAATGGTCACAAAAAGCGGATCAGCTATTACCTGGGTCAGGGAATGGGGTTTACTGGGGAGGGGGCATTAGGGACATTTTTGAAACACAGAAATACCTTGATCATAGTGTGGTGACACAAATGTATAATTTGTCAAAACTCCTTGAGAGATACACTTCAAAAGCGGCATTTCATTGCATAAAATCAGTTAAAATGTACAATGTGATGTAATTCTCACCAAGTACATTTGAAGAAGATGAAGTTTACTGACACCTTCTGAGGGCCCTGGAGCAGGGCTGTGGACACCCTTCGACCCCATCCTGCGTGAGAATTGCGTGGAGGCAGCTCCATGGGGGGCACTGTTCATTACAGATTTAAACGCACATTCCCAATGACCTGCTAATCCCACATTGATAATATATGTCTATCAATAGGGGCTACTTAAAAAAGTTATAATGCATCCATACAGCGGATACTATGCAACTACGCAAATGTGTGAGGAGGCTTTTTATGAATTGATGTAGGATTATTTTAAAACCATGGTTCTGTGAACAAAGCATTGTGCAGAATGGTGTGAGTGATACGTTACTATTTGTGGGAAAAGGGGGGAAGAATATTTCTATATTCTTTTACATGCAAAAAAAATGCCTTTGTAGGACATAAAAGAAAGATAATATTATTATTCAGATAATGTAATAAATCTATCTGGGTGGCAACTAGGTAGCTGGGATGCAAAGATGGGAAAGAGGTTTTTAAAGTATACCCTTTTTTATCTTTTGAGTTTTTTAACCATATGAAAGTATTATGTGTAAATATATATACTAACTTTATATAATGTGAATGTACACTAAGTATTATATGATGCCTATGAATATATTTATAAATATGGCTATATGAAAGTATTATGTGTAAATATATATGTATATGTGAGTATGTGTATAAATATGTATGTCACTGACATAATTCACATTCTTTTCTTTGTCCGACCCAAGATCTGACCATTTTGGGGAGAGGCCTGAGAAAAACTCTGGAGGTGACTTGGATTTGCATCCCAGGTCAAGGTCACTGTGACCCTGATACCTGCACTGGGAGACCCTTCGGATCTTGGCAGGCAGACCGTCCTCTCTGCTGACTCATGCGGTGTATCCCCTCATCGGGTCCTTAGCCAGTTCGCATCTTACTGAGTCCCCAGACCTCACTTCTGTGTGTCTTCTCCCCGCAGGCAGGATGGCCCAGAGCACGGTGACAGTGAACGGAGTGGATGTGGGCTCGAGGCTGCCCCAGTCCACCCACATCAACATCCACATCCACCAGGAATCAGCTTTGGCACAACTGCTAAAAGCTGGGGCTTCCCTGAAGGAGCACTTCTCTCGCCCTCGGGATACTGGGCCTTCTGAGGCCAGGATAAGCTATTGGCAGCTGGCACTGGGGGTAAGAGCAGCGGGGGCCTTGGAGGATGGCAGCTCCCCTGCTTCCCCTGAAGCCCCACGGGAACTCGCTATTTATGTCCTGTCTTATTTGGTGTGGAGGAAGGAGGGCCCCTGTCTGCAGTGCAGTGGGCAGTCCCAGCTGGAGGTGGGGATGGGCAGAGGAATCCCTGGGGGCTGTTAATTCAGTTTAAGTGACCCTGTGTGGATTGAGGGCCTGTAGGCACCTGGTATGGGACAGGCACTTTGAGGTAGCTACAGGGAGAACCCCGAGGCTATGAGCTGAAAGCTCTCAGCATCCCTCAGACAGGATGGGGCAACCCCAAGATCCCCTAGAGTGGGAGGCGGATCAGGGGAGTCCCCGGGCGGCGGGCGGCACACTGCAGGAGCTGGCGTCTGAGCCAGACCGTGAGCGGAGAAGTGTGTTTAGACAGAGGTGGAAGGTAGAAGAAAAGGAATGCCAGGTTAGGATGGAGGCAGGAGCCAGGGCCAAGAAGTCCGAAAGCGGAGGGCAAGGTCTGTCGAAGTAAAGAGAATGGGGTTCGTGGCGGACTAGACTGGATACACAGAGCAGCACCGCACCGCTGAGAGCCTGCGTGACAGGGTGAGGAGTCTGTCCTGAATCGGCTGCGGCAGTGGGAAGGTGCGGTTGACTCTGAGCAGGAATGCAGGTCTTAGGCTGCCTCACAGCCAGGAGGTGTCCAGGTGAGAAGTATGGGGGGTCTATGCCTGTGTGGTCACAGCAGCAATGACGCAGAGAGAGAGGAGTTGGCATCCCTTGCGGATGGGGTGTCCACGACTTGGGGCGAAGGCTTGCCATTCAGGGGAGGGGAGAGGTCCAAGGACAGGCTGAGGTATGCAATGTGGGGCTGAATGACCGGGAGAGCGGAGCCTGGAAGCCAGGAGCAGCAGGCGCTAGGGGTGTGCAGGGGTGTGGGATTTGGGTGGGATGAATCTGCCATGCTGGCAGGGTGTGCAGGTGGTGATGTCCAAGAGCCTGTGACAATAGGAAGCAGGGGCTGGGCTGGAGTTGGGTGTGCACAAGCTTTATTCGGGGGCAGCCCTATGAACAAACGGAACGGCAGGACTGGGCAGTGGAGCCATCAGACCCCAGTGCAGGCCCCACAAGGTCTCCACCAGCCCGGTGGCAATGGAGAGAACAGACCGCTCGTTCCGGGAGTTCCATGTCAGGTGGAAGCAGCCCTTGTTCCAGCACCTTGCTTAACCCTTGGATGGGAGGCCGTGCCCCCAGAGGGTGCCCTCAGCTTGAAAGATGAGGGGACTTGAAGGAGCTGTAGATCTGTCAGCTAACCACACTCCTTTCTTAAAGGGGGGTCTTTGTGGCCATCCTGGACAGGATGATGGAATTCCCAAGGGAGAATGAGAGCAAAGTGGGAATCCCTAGTGGGGGTGTAGTGCATGGTGTTCAGAAAACAGTAAAGGGATGAAAGGCTGGCATGTGGAAGCAATGGAGGGAGAACCAGGGCATGCTGCTTCATGGATGGCAAGGGAAT